TATTTTTTAGATGAAACTCTTTTTTCTATGTAAAAGCTTTCGCAATATTTTATTGCTTCTTCAGTTACACTATAAGTTATAGATATAATTATAATAATTTACAATATAAATGTGGATTACTTACAAGAAACTGAGTTATTGATATTTGTATATAGATTTATAGATTTTGGACATTGACATTAAATGACATTTCATAAATTTAGGAAAACAAAAACAAAAATTATTTTATATTTATTTAGAATTAATATTACTAGTGCTATGATTTAGATTTTTATCTATGAAAATTTTAAAATTTTAACAACAGAGAAGGATTATTCTAAAAGATGTTCTTTAGAAATGTTTTATATTAACCAGGAAGAAAATACTCTAAATAAAAAAAACAGATACAAAAGATATTAATATTACATTTTCCAACATACTTAACATAGATAAAAATCTAAATCATAGCACTAGTAATACTAACACTAATATTAATTCTATATAAATATAAAATAATTTTTGTTAATTTTGTATAAATATGTTGTTATTTGGGGTGATGTGGGTATGTGGCAAATGCATATCTAATCCTTTCCTTCATATCATCGCAAGTAGTAGGTGGAACACTTGTGTACAAGATATATTTTTATACAGCCCGAAACAAAGAAGTCCATTACGAGAGGTATGGACACCTGTGGTAGCCACTGACATGGACCATTTTTACCAACTCATTTATTATTTAATTAAACCGTTGGCAGTATAACAATAAATTTGTTCGAAATATTTTATGGACCGATGAAGCTTGTTTTACAAGAAGAGGCACATTTAATTATCACAACAGTCATATTTGGGCCCATGAAAATCCTCATGAAGTGAGACGCCGATCATACCAGCAAGAATTTAGTTTTAATATCTGGTTAGGTGTGATGGGTGGAAATATTTGTGGACCTTATGTATTACCTCCAAGGCTAAATTCAGTATCATTTGCTAATTTTCTGGAAAATAACTCATTTCAATTACTAGAAGATATTCCCTTAAACCAAAGATATCGCAGTTGGTTCCAAATGGATGGAGCTCCAGCTCACTCTGGCCAAATAGTTCGCAACTGGATGAATGCAAATTATCGGAACCGCTGGATAGGACGTTTGCCATATGAACCGTTGTTTAATGTGGAGGGGCCGGTGCTTTGGCCTCCTAGATCACTAGATCTTAACCCCCTCGACTACTATGTATGGGGTACGTTGAAAGATGATGTTTACTCTGTACCAATTGAAACCAGAAATCAGTTGCAGAGAAGAATAATAGACGCCTGTGATAATCTCAAGCAGAGGCCACATGAAATCATCGCGGGGATAAATTCTTTAATACGAAGATGTGAAATGTGTATTAATGCAGCAGGCGGGCATTTCGAACAACTTCGTTAGATGTTATGCAGCTGTAATTACTTTCAATAGTTTTATTAAATATTGATTATTGAATTGATACAGTAATTATTTTATTGTCGTTAATTCAACTGCAATTTGTAGGTCTATTGTAATAGTAATAATAAATACATTTTACTTGAAAATGATAGTAGTTACGAAAAACTTACAAGGATAATTTTTCCAAATTAAACGGAGAATACAAAAAATATTGTTTTTTAAATTTAAAGCCAGTGGCGTACTAATATTTTTTTACTAACTAAAGCAATGGAGACCCTTATTTTCTCCGTCACTGGTAAAGTAAAAAAAATGAAAAATTCTCCAAAGATCACATGTACAGTGCCAAATCTTTTATAAAAATCTTACGGGTGAAACCTCATCACCTACAGAAAAATTCGAAAAATATATTTTTTTTTCGGGAAACTTTAACGCGCTGTATCTCAAAAAGTAAACATTTGTCGGGTATAGTTTGTTTAGCAAACTAGCAAAAAAAGTAAACACCCTGTATATATATATACACTGTGGATACAAATTGTGGAATATTGCTTACATTTCTTAAAATATTCGTCATACCAAAAACATGTTTTAATAAAAGTGTTAGGGGAAATTATTTCCCGTTTAGTGATATCAAGCAATCTTTCGTAGCACAAAAAATGTGGTTGCCAAGGTAACTGACTTAATTTTTTTAAACGACACCATATACTTTTTTTGGTGAAAATTAATACATTTGACCCTTCTAAATACGATACAATACAATTTTAATGGGGTCACATAAGAAAAAAATACAAAAAATCTAAGTTTTTTATTATGCTTTTGACATTGTTTATCAAAATAATTATTAACATCAAGTTAGCCATGCCAAAATCAATGCGAAACTGTCACTAGCTGTCAGTTGCTTGTAAATGTGTGCATTGTTGCAGTAAACGTACTTTTTTACTCAATTTTCTGTGTACTTAAGTACTTAGTAAGTTATAATGGCGCTTGAATTAAGTGAAACGGAAAGAATACAGGTTTTAATAATGGTGGGGATATGATGACAGAAAAAAGACACAGCGGGAAGTATGCGAGTTGTTTAACGAACTTCATCCAAACATACCTCAAATAACACAATCTTGTGTTTCCAAATTGTTTAAAAAATTTAACAAACTACATAGAGGGCGGTAAAAACAGCTACTGATGACGATACTACTTTAAATGTGCTTCTGTCAATACAAGAGAACCCACATTTGTCCAGTCGGGAAGTTGGTAGGGTGCAAGCCATTTCACACCGTTTTGTGTTGAAACATCTCCACAAGGAAAAGTTTCATCCTACAAGATGCAGCTCGTTCAAAAGCTTGTGCAAAATGATTTTGCAAAACGTGTTAAATTTTGTAACACTATGTTAGATTTTAACATGGATTTGGAATTTGGCAAAAAGATTGTGTTCACTGATGAAGCCACATTTATGCTTCATGGATTTTATAATAAACAAAATTATCGATATTGGTGTCATTGTAAATGCTTTGGAGGCCCTAGGTCCAATTCATCAAATGTGGTTTCAGCAAGATGGAGGGGTCCACATTATGGAAGGGCCATAAGAGATTATCTAAATGAAATATTTCCTGCAAGGTGGATAGGTCGCGGAGGTGCCATTAAATAGCCAGCAAGGTCACCCGATTTCAATCCGTGTGATTATTTTTGGTGGGGTTACTTAAAAAGTATAGTCTACAAAGAAATACGAGTAGATCTTGAAGATCTTAAAGCGAGGATCAGATTCGAGCTACGGCAAATTCGACACCACACGTTGGCAAACTTGAGTGATTCGTTTTTAAAGAGACTAAGAATGTGCCTAAACAATAATGGCCGTCATTTTGAACATTTAATGAATTAGTTCACATCCGTTCCATTTTTTTTCATTTATCCTATTAAAATTAGCTTAAAACTTTGATCTTTTGATTTTTTGACTCCTTACTTTAAGACAAAATAAAATTATAAAAATTGAATTTACTATATTTTTTTCTTATGTGACCCCATTAAAATTGCATTGTATCGTATTTAGAAAGGTCCAATGTATTAATTTTCACCAAAAAAAAAATATACGGTGCCGTTTAAAAAAATTAAGTCGGTTACCTTGGCAACCACATTTTTTGTGCTACGAAAGATTGCTTGATATCACTAAACGGGAAATAATTTCCCCTANCTCATGCCTTATGTTTCCATTTGAAAAAAAAAGTAGGGGTAGCTGGGAGTTAGGGGGTTGAAGAAAAATTAATTATTATATAACCGAAAGATGGGAAAAAATCAAAATCAGTTACCCAGTTTCGGCGTTTAAAAAAAAATTAACTCATTCAAGAGATGAATTTTATTCCGTACTTCTGGCCGTCCCTATATATATATATAAATATATAAGAGTAGACTATTAGACGACTGTCTAAGTTGAGAATTTTGGATTTAGTTGGGTATGTCAGTCAAATTAACAAAGAATACTATTTATTCAGTTCAAGCACTTTATTTAACGGTTACAATATTATGAAAAACTTTGAAAGTTACAGACAAAAAAATATACTTACAAAAGTTGAGATTATATTCTATACAAAATAAAGTGAAGAAACATGAATAAAATTTAAAAGTTAAAACGTTAAAATTACTTAAAATCCGGTTAAAATTTAATTATAACACTGATAAAACCAACAAATTAAAATATTATATACCAAACTATGCAGGGAGCACATGGTCGTTGAGGTTATGCATAGTGTGAGAAACGAACTACAAAGAAACCAGAATGATCATTAAACAAACACAATTTCGGAAAATCAGTTATTGCGAACCTACAACGTCTATCCAACCTCTAAATTTAAGAATCACTGTTATTAAAATTATTAGAAAAATGTAAAAGGTATGTGAATATGACACTGAGGTTATCAATATCCCATCTTCGGTTTATACAATCCACTTCACGATCTATAAAACAGATATCCAAAAAAGTTCTGTCAGTAGGTTTGTGCAGTGAGAGCAACCTACATAACTACTTTCTCTCCTAGTATGCTAAACTGATGGATCTCGAGTAGGAGACGAGTTTTCAGGAGCAGGAATTTATCTGAAAGGCAGTGGTATCCAGGAAAGCTTTTCACTGGGTATGTCCGCCACAGTCTTCCAGGCCAAGGTTTTTACTATCTTGATGGTAGCAAGTAAGGAGGAGGTAAGTAATTGTGTAGAGAAGATTTTTATCTGCTCCGACAGTCAGGCCGGGCCTAGAGCGGTTAGCTCCCCGAGGACAAGGTCTGTCCTCGTCCAGGAATGTGGAGACGCTTTGGAGTTATTGGCCAGACGAAGAGAGGTAGAGTTGGTTTGGGTTCCAGGCCACATGGGTATCCCTGGCAACGAGAGTGTTAATCAACTTGCTCGTCCCGGATCTAGAAGAACTTGCCAAGGACCTGAACCAATCCTAGGAATCACACGAGGTGGCATTAACGGGGCCCTTAATAAATGAGCCTATCAAACTTTAGGTGAGAACTGGAGGAGAATTAGAGGATGTAGGCAGACTCATAGTTTTATACATGGACCTAACAAACCTAAGACGAAATGGCTGCTGAGCCTTAGTCGAAGAGCCCTAAACCAAATGGTGGGGGTTCCGACAGGCCGTTGCAGATTTAGGAGGCATTTAAGTTTAATAGGGATTGAGGAGGACCCTCTATGCCCGAAATGTGGAGTAAGGGAGGACACCCCCTGTCCACCTTTTGGGACACTGTGCAGTTTTTGGGAGGATAAGTCTTTGGTGCTGAAGAGTTGCAAGGGGTTGGGGTGAGAGACCTTCCGTGGACCAAAATCCTGGAGTTCATTAGGGCGTCGAGTAGGTTCGAGGAGGGTCAGCGGCAGAGAGTGGACAGGTGATGGGACGGCGGGGTCGGCAAAAAGAGCCCACTTGTGGCCTAATTGCCAGGCTGAGACCCCACCTTTTCACTACTACTACTATTACTACTACCATGATAGGATCTTGTTGAAAGTTTGAATACCCAGGTTACCGGTCATAAACTTTTCAATGAAAATATTTTCAAAACTGTTGCACTTCCGCTTATACCGGAAGTTGCCACCACCTTTGTTATCTCAAATGGAATACCCTGTATATTATTGCATTTTTGGATTCTACTTAAATTTTGCTATCGAACGAACCTGGGTCGTTGAGCTCGCCGGCATAGCACTGCTCTTGGAATTTCAAACCGAACCGTCAGACGGATTTTACTAAATAAGAACCTACATCTCCATCTCCAAGAAGCGCATTATGTGAGTCGAGAACGATTCTGTGAAAATTTTTTAGATTTAATTCATCAAGTTGAGGACATTGCAAATCATTTATGGATGAGTGACGAAGCCATTTCCATTTGTCCGGTTAAGTCAACAAGCAGAACTTTAGATATTGGAATGACGTGAATCCTAGACAAATGCAATAGGAACCCCTTCACTCCTCAAAAGTTACTGTGTGGTGCGCTATTTCTTCATCAGGATTATAGGGCCCAATTTTGTTTAAGATTCCCGTGGTAATGCTGTGACGGTAACCTCACAAAGATATGCCGATATGTTGGAAAACTTTTTTGCACCACAGCTTGAACGCTACGAAGTTAACGAGGAAGTAATTTTTGAAACATAAAATCATTAATGCTTTTTTATGTTTAACAAAATTTTCAAAAATAAGACATAATTATAATAATAGTAATTATTATTATTAATTTATTTGTAAAAATTTATTTTCTTCTGTTTTAAATCCTTTTTAAAATCGCTCATTATTCTGTGTGACAAGGAAAAAATAAAAAGAGAAAAATAGGTATTTAAGAAAAATATTTATTTTTGATTATAAAAAAAATGTATACATAATAATATACAATAATATAATGAAAAAATATATATAATTTTAAAATATATAATAAAATATATTATTTCTGTTTCGCTGTGGTGTTGGCGCATGTGAGCTTTGTACATCCGTGGGTTAGGCTCCTAGAAACCCACAGATGTACAGCTCCTTCTCTGTAACAAAGTGTAACGGTATTATTATGTGTGTGACATGTGACACCCCCTTGACTAAATTCGGAAAAGTCTGTAAACTTTAGCGTCATTGACCTCCCTGCTCGGGCGCTAAATTTGTAACGTTCAATCTCTTTGACTGAACTCTAAACGGAAAACTGTCTTAAAAATGTATTTAAACGTCACGGGCGTCCCTATTCGGGCACAGATTTTTGTGACGCACCTTCGATTAACGAAATTTATCGGCGGCGGTGTTCGGCAGCCGCTGGCGGTGAGTGATGTTACAGAAACGTACTGCGGTTGGTATTTTTTTCTATATTCTGTTAACCTCGGGCGCTAGTTTCCCTATATTTCCCTATACGTAACCCTTACCCTCGGTTTAGAGTAAAGTGCACAGGTAGCTGCAATGAAGAAAATTAATTTCCAGGAGTCGACTGTATTTCTTTTTATTGCCACGACAGATAGTAGTTTTCTCAGTGTAGTATTATTTTAAATATAAAATAGACAGAATTATTCGTGTATTTTATCAAAACGGTATCAGCTTTTTTGCTGGTTTGGTTTTGAAAGAAATAATACACCTATTAACCTGAAATTAACAATGAAAATCTTAAAACTTTTACAAATAGAAATCGTGTCAATTTATTTGTACCCACTACTAAATGATTGAAAAAATATTTAAAGGTTAAATGAATAATAAATAAGAACATTTTCATGAAACGGTCAACTATAAACGATAGCGGTGTTAGAGACAAAGTTAGAAATTAAACATACATATTTTTTACAACTTTACTGTAAAGAACATTAACGTATTCAAAGAGAAATATATGATTTATAAACGGCGCTAAAAGGAGAACATTCTACAATAATAAACGGATTTAAAAAAACTACGGTTTTAAATGGTGCTGAAAGGAAAACAAATTTTATGTCGGTCTCCGTTGGGTCTGTAACAAAAATAAAACAACTGTTTACGGATTAATTTACATCTGGGTCTGCGGTTTAATTAACGGTAATGCGGTCTGGCAAGCAAAGGAAAATTAACAAGTGGTAATCGATAGCAACAACCAGTGAAGAAAGCCCAAGTGGTGCAAAGTGGAAAAATCAGGTGGTGTCAGGATGGTAAAACGGGATCCAAAGTAGCTAGCCTTGCAATTCGAACAGCCTCCTAAGATGTATACGTCCGGGGTCCGACTTTGTCCAGAAGAGGTGTTGATCACAGCCAGCCTGCCGGTTAATTATCGGCGTCTCAGCGTACAACGCTTTCCGAGGAAAACGTACTTACACTATATACGGACGACACAGAGACGGTGTTTAGCACAGCCACCTCGGGTCTTGGCTCGTATATCCTCAAGTATCCGATGCCTACCAGAAGAGGTATTTATCACAGCCAGCCTTCTGATTCATCGTAGGCCCTCCATCATACAATGCTTCAAGAAGAAAGCGTACGTATACTGTCACGAACGACTCGGAGACGGTGTTTAGCACAACCCTCTCTAAGTGTGAGTTCGTTGGGTTGGGACAGGACGGTGGAATTTGTTACCAAAAATATTCTTCTCGGGTCCGCATTAATTCCACACTTAAAAGCGTTCAAATTTTTGGACTTCTACTCGGTAGGAACGGCAAATAATTAATGGAAAATAATTCTTACTCGTTTCACTGGTTGTTCTTTAAAGGGCTTCGTGGTGACTACTTGCTGCTGGTTAACTTCTCGGTAGTGAGTTCTGGATAGAAACTGCCGGTTTCGGGTCATGTGGTTTGCTTCACTTCGATCCCCACCGGATTAGCACAAGTCGTGGTGGGATCTTCACGTGACTAGCGACTTGTTAGAGTAGGGTAACGGCCGGTCTGACCTGCGAGCGGATATATACAATGAATAATAACCGCCGGGGTAAATTAATCCGAATAATAAAAAAAATATGTTGCAAGTCCTAGCATAAAAATTAAAATTAAACAGGTTCATTACAAATGAAAGAGTGTAAGATAATATTTTTTTTACACCCTGTATTACGACCCTATTTTAAATATTACGAGTTTTAAGTTAGAAAGAAGGCACATATTTGCCCCGGCCGGCATAGCATCTGGTATTTATAAAAAAAGCTCAAGTGGCTAGTTAACGCCCAATGGCTTTGTTTAGATTATAAATTTCAGACATACCCTTTATCTAAACTTTGAAAACATCACTTTTACGTTTGCCTGTGCTGTGAAAACATTGTGAATTGTGCCTCAATTGAATACTGGATATTAGGTGAGTTTTCTCACTGAGCACACCTATTTATAATGGTTTATTCATATACGTAGAATGTGAGTTTTTCTTACTGAGCATACCTATCTATTATAAATTATATTATTCATATAACTTGTGAGTTTCTTTCACTGAGCATACCTATTTATTTGTATTAGTGGTTTATTCACAGTTTACTTACTGAACATTCTTATTTAATATTGATGGTTTCATCGCATCTTGAATATCTTGAATATTGCCATATCATCTTGAAAATAATAATTGTTAGATATGTTATATAAATTTACGTTGTCAATCTTATTGAGAAGTTAGATATTTGATTTGACGAGCATCATTAATTAGATTGCATATTCTTTTGAAGAAATAATTAAGTGTCTTTTGCATAGATTAGTAGTCATATTTCGGGATATATCCAATAAAGTAAAATGTCATTTGGGTAACAATAAGAGTTGTTATATGACGGATTATTTTGTATTAGTAACTGTTGAGGTATTGCTGTTATGAATTGAGGTGCTAAATTTGCACAATTGATTGGCCAGTTACTAGTAAGTTTAATGACATTTGTTGTAAATAAGTTGTCTATGCATTTGAGGCACTTTACTGTTTTGCTCGTCAGTACTGACATTGCAGATATCCATGGATAATGTTTTTGAGTGATTCTTGTGATGTTGTGCCACGCTACTTGGGTGCGAGCGGGTTGTCAGGAGAGTGTTCTCAGGCTAATTGCTACCGCGGTACTTGGGTGCGAGTGGGTTAGTTGGGAGAGTGCTCTCAGGCTAATTGGTGCCACGGTACTCGGGTGCGAGTGGGTTAGTCGGGGGAGTGTTCTCAGGTGCCGCGGTACTCGGATGCGAGCAGGTTAGTCGGGAGAGTGTTCTCAGGCTAATTGGTGCCACGGTACTCGGGTGCGAGTGGGTTAGTCGGGAGAGTGTTCTCAGGCTAATTGGTGCCGCGGTATTCGGATACGAGCGGGTTAGTCGGGAGAGTGTTCTCAGGCTAATTGGTGCCCCGGTACTCGGGTGCGAGCGGGTTAGTCGAGAGAGTGTTCTCAGGCTAATTGGTGCCAGGGTACTCGGGTGCGAACGGGTTAGTTGGGAGAGTGTTTTCAGGCTAAATGGTGCCGCAGTACTCGGATGCGAGTGGGTTAGTTGGGAGAGTGTTCTCAGGCTAATTGGTGCCGCGGGACTCGGGTGCGAGTGGGTTAGTCGGGAGAGTGTTCTCAGGCTAATTGGTGCCGCTGTACTCGGGTGCGAGCGGGATAGTCGGGAGAGTATTCTCAGGCTAATTGGTGCCACGGTACTCGGGTGCGAGCGGATTAGTCGGGAGTGTGTTCTCAGGCTAATTGGTGCCACAGTACTCGGGTGCGAACGGATTAGTCGGGAGAGTGTTCTCAGGCTAATTGGTGCCACAGTACTCGGGTGCGAGCGAGTTAGTCGGGAGAGTGTTCTCAGGCTAATTGGTGCCATGGTACTCGGGTGCGAGTGGGTTAGTCGGGAGAGTGTTCTCAGGCTAATTGGTGCCACGTTACTTGGGTGCGAGTGGGTTAGTCGGGAGAGTGTTCTCAGGCTAATTGGTGCCACAAGACATCCATTGCACACCTGGAGTTGACACTGGGAGGGGTGTCAAGAACAGTACGATAATGCTTATATTTGTTTATATGTTTAATATATAGAATAGTTTGGTGATATGTAGTATCACTGTGGCTTATCGATTGTGTAGTAGATATATCACACCCTGTATATGTTTAATGTTAAATAGACACAGTCATATTTTCAAATAGAGGCGAAGGAAATACTCAGTGATCATTGATTCATTTATTAACGAGATAATAGGGTGCTCAGGTATGCTTCCAAATTATTTACAGACGTATTTAGTGGCCACTCACTAAGAAAGGATCACCTCATCTCACCATCACAATAGCCAAATCCTAACCTGTTAAGACAAGAGGCCAAATTTGTCTGAGGTATTTACGTTTTTCTTTAGTTACTCATATATTTACGCCCGCAAAATAGATAACAAATATTTACATATTTTCAACGTAATAACCGACAACCGATTTCTACCCTTATTACCCTTTTCAACCCTTTATTTCTCGTTACGAAAAATACCAAAGCTTACAATTTTTAAATATATATATTTTTAAATATTGAACAAACATTAACGTACCTATTAAAATTTCCTGAAATGGAATTAATTTGGGAGGGCCATCATTCTCTTCCTCTTCATTAATTTTTATCCCTAATAGATCCCATACATAAGATGGGACCGTGCACATGTGCATAACACTCCATTAAATAGATCATCTATTCTATGTTGAGTTTCACTCATCATGCTACTGTTACTTTCACTTTTGCTACTAATACACTGAATGCATTTATGCTCTCGGACACGTTTAGCGTCTTGCCATGGCAAATGTTGTTTTATTTGCCATGGTCTTGCTTTCCTTCCTCACCTCTCCCCCACACCCCACACACTATTCGAGAAATGAAACGCACAGAGTTCAGTAATATTTTTTCCAGTTTATTTAAACAAATAAATGCAAACATCAAACTTATCTTGTTAACAATTTATCATTTTATGGTAAATTGTTAATAAGATATGTGGCATATACATTCTGCCTAGTGCAACGTTATTTATTAATAATATACTTATCACAATGAAATTTTAAGCTAGATAATATAAAATCTTTTATCCTACTACAGCCATGTGGCAACAAGTCAATAATAATATTATTAGGTAAAACTGTGTTAAAGTTAAAAGTGCATTGTATAAATAAATTTGAGTAGGTATAAGTATTAAATAACTTTAGATTGTCAAAGAGAATTGAGGAGAATTGTTAATATTCTCGCGTCAATAACTTTGATACGTTTATTTTAAAAGAGTTCAAACTACAAAGTGCGAACGGCAGCTCTTATAGCGGCGGCAGAGGGAAGTGGGTCGGTTCTAATTTTTGTGATTGCAACATATAAATTTGCCAGCTTGAGGAAAATGTTATGGGGAGACAATAAAGATGTTAAAAGGGTGCCAACCTACAAATAAACAAGCTAAAACAAACCCCTAACGGTTTCCTCACCCTGTAGGTAGGGATTTGAAGAAAAAATAAAAATGGCACAAGTAAAATTCACTAATAAATTTCTTACTCTGGTTCTGGCTTTTACGGGATGTTCGGCGAAATACAGGGTCTACAGATGTCCTGATGTCCTGGACTGAAGACTTAAATATGGAGCCCAAGGTTGACCTAATCCCTTCTAGGTTTACCATAAAGTTAGTTTAATTGCGTGACTTAAAATTGCAGCGACTATAGTAATTTCTTAGCTACTGAGTTTTCGCTAAATTATCACTTTACGTCAATAACTAGAAGGCTAGTTACAACAAATTTTAATCAATATTCGTCAAACTTTAACGAACTTAAAAATCTGACTTTTCTCAAAAAAAAAAAGAACCTTTTAGGCCTTCCAAAACTTTTCAAGCAACGTTAAACTTTTCAAGCTACGTTCAACTTTTCTAATTTGAAACTTATAAAACTTCTCTTAAAACTTTTATATAAAATTTTTTACTATTCAACTTTTATAACTTTTCTGGTAAACTCTGGTGAGAGAAAACGGAAGAAATAAAATTCAATTAGCACGTGGTTGCACAGCATTGAAGGTCATACAAAAACATGGGCAAAATCCAAATGGTTAACTAGGCTAAAATCTACTGGATCGAATTTTAGAAAAAACTAGAAATGTAATATTTTATTAATTACCTTTGATGTACTTCGACGTTCACTGGTGATTAATCTAAGTTAAACTAATCGGTTTAATTATAAATCACACGCGAGCCATTAGCAAAAATGAAAGAAGCTTTAAGTCGCTCCGGCGAACGTTTTATTGATTCAAATCTAAAAAAAAACTCATTCGATGTGATTGGTCGGTTGAACGAAATACATTTCAGACTGGGCAACTGCTCTTTAATCACCATTGAACGGGTTCTACAACTGACCATAGCCTATGTCCAACCACAAACTATCCAGTCCACTCTGTGTGTCTTTGGGTCGATGGTGATAGAACTAAGTACAATAACCTTCTATGTATGACAACCAAGTAACCTAATTGTTGTGGCTCCAAGTTCGGTTAACAAATAACAATACTAAAAAGAAATAATACAAATAAAAAACGGTACAGTTAAAATTATACAATTACAGAACTATTACAATTCATACAACATCATTCTCCATGTTTATAACAGGTAAATAGTAAACATTTATTGCACATAGTTTATTACATTGGTGTTCTGTAACTAATTGCAGGGCATGGCAAAGATTTACATGATGTAACAACAATACAGCAGTATACAGGTGGAAACAAAATTAACTAATAGTGATAACAAAGTTGAATTTTGTATGAAGATCTCAAGAAGCTGTTTAATTGTTGCATTATAGTTAAAATAAATAGTGACATTCACACTGTACAGATAGTGAATGTTACAATATGATATTTTAGTTAATGAGCGATTACTAAATTATTAGAATAATAAAGAATAAGTAAATGTTATAATGAAATTAAATTTAAATTAAACCCCAATTCTTGATAAAATATTGTGCCTGACAATTTATTATCACAGAATACGTCGTCAAAAACAAGGATAAACCTACGTCACATGTATCAGAAATAAGCTAAAATTCCAAATTTTAATTTAGTGCATCTAAAAAATAGCAATGAGTGTAAAATTCAAATAGCCAAATAATCATTCGAAATAAAATTTTAAATATCAATATGTTAAAATGTCATACAAATGACAGATGTAAAGATGGCTTCATGCTGACAGATACCAAACCTGAAATAAAAATAAAAATTATTAATTTAAAGAATATTTTACAAAAGATTACAATTAAATTGTAAGATAAGAACAAACATTGTAAAGTGAATAAATTATAACAGTGGAGTGCAACGAGTAAAAACATAATAAAAGAATTGAAAATATGGTGTAGTGACCTTAACAAAATGAGGACATCAAGCATCGTAGGATGAACAATGGAAGGAGGAAAAAACACTTAGTAACGAATTTTTTTGATGAAAACAAGAGGAGATGTAACCGAGAACTAAAATGTAATTTAAAAGAATGGAAAAGTATAATTAATTAAACATTTAATCATATTTACAGAAGCCAAATTAGTATTGACATCATTGAGAATACCTATGAGAGATCCAGACCTGACGAGACGGCAACCACAACATAAGATAAGTACAATGGAAAAGGTGTTCCAGGGGCCAAATTGGTTCTGTCGTGGTATATGATCTGAATTGTTTGTAACATCGACATGGATCCTCGGTGGATACATCGGGAGTTCTAATCGAGCCCCACGTTGGACGCCATGACGAGTTCTTTGATTGGATGTGCCTAATTGTTGAGAATTGCAAGGTGATTCGCCAACCTGGGCTCGTCGCGAAGACATCGAAGCAGAGCTTCGAGCCCCACGTCGAGCGCCATGTCGTGAACTATGATTGGAAGTATTGGTTTCCTCGACCTGGGTTCGCGGTGAAGACACCAGAAGTTCAAATGGATCGTCACTTTGGACGCCAGGTCGCGCTATATTCTCGAACGACTATGGCTTGTGGTGAATATGTCCTACAGACGTTATGTCTAGGATACGAACTCGTGGGAGAGATCTCGACGACGATGGTCGAACCCTACGTCGAGCGCCGTGTCGAGTTAGACTTTCTAAATAAGGACCACTTAGACGGTGATCGAATGTTCGGGGGAAATCATGAGAGTGGACGGGCGATGTACCAGAATTGCTTAAATGGAAAGAGCCGGCTACGTCACCTACGACATAGTCGGCTAAGGGGTTTTCGCATGCTATGGCACCCGGATGCTGTATGTACTGTATCGCCGGCGCCAACGGTTCCACGTTCCAGGACACCCGATATCGGAGGTAGGCCGACATCGCGGCCGGACCGCGAACCGTGGTTGGGCTCATGGGATTCCCCGGACGCTACCAGTTGGTACGTAGTATCTGTGGGTGACCCACTTCGTGATAACTCTCGAGAACTACTACTCGTCTCCTTGGGCACGTCTTGAGGGATACTCGAGGTGGTATCGGTAACTCGTGTAGTCGCGGACCTCAGCCTGTACGGCACTGTGGCGTCGCCGTGCCTCGTACTACTACGAGCTACCACCTTCGGTTTCTCAGACTCTCCACGGAGCACCGAGATAGCGTTTGGGGGGAACGAAGTCTCGTCCAGCTCAGTCTTGATCATATAATCACGATCTGATTTATTTGTTGCACCTTCGAGGGCACCAATCCTCGTAGCACTGGATGTCGCATCGCAGGGGTACATCTTACCCCGTACGACAATGGCGGAGCAAGCTCTTTTGCTCCGAAAGTCTTGTAGAAACACTGACTCTACTTTTAAATGTGGGTCTCTCGAGGGAGCCCAGAGAAGCAAGAACAAGTTCTGCTAAATTTTGAGTACGCCGCCGCAATGACGTGCGTACTATTGCTTTGAACCCGTAGGTCGCAAAGAAAATGCCTCGTAGGGGTATGACGAGGAAGGTTGCCTCGACGAGTGACCGCCTAGAGGTCTGACGAGGAAAGTTGCCTCGGATTTGCAGATCTCGATAGAGTCTGAATTATTGGACTCGTGGGAGCCTATGTGTGTGTCTCTGTACCGAGGTGCGGGTCTCTCGATGGAGCCGGCACAATCGGAGTCAGGGTCTTCGTCGGAGGTTCTCAGCCTCGGACGGTACGGAGTTCTCTAAAGGAGCCTGGAATGTATCGCTGTTTCGATGCAGGGGGCTATCGAACAGGATCTTCGCCTCAGGTTGGGCTACTTCGGGCGGTACGCAAGTCTCTGGAGGAGCCTGGTGTATCTCTGTGCGATGCAGGAGGCTATCGGACAGGATCTTCGTCGGAGGTGGTCAGACTTGGACGGTATCGCAGGTCTTTAAAGGAGCCGGGAGTATCGCTGTTTCAATGCAGGGGGCTATCGAACAGGATCTTCGCCTCAGGTTGGGCTACCTCGGGCGGTACGCAGGTCTCTGGAGGAGCCTGGTGTATCGCTGTTTTGATGCAGGGGGCTATCGAACAGGATCTTCGACGGAGGTCAATCTCGGACGATATCGCAGGTCTCAAAAGGAGCCGGGGAATTTACCGCTGTTTCGATGCAGGGGGTTATCGAACAGGGTCTTCACCTCAGGTTAGGCTACCTCGGGTGGAATGTCTCGTGAAGCGACTAGTGGTTGCTAGGCACTATAAATTGCCGCGTCAAGGTATGGTAGCCTTGAAGGGAGCCTCGTGAAGCGAGCCTGTGAGCTGTGAGCTCCAAAAGTTCCTGAGTTTGATAGGATTTTTTCAATCAAACCGTGGAAGATATGTTAAAAGATTTATTGAACAGAATTAACAGACAATAAGTGCTCTTAATTAATACATACAAGACATTTACCATACAGTGCTTTCGAAAAGTAACGAATAAATTCATTATTTTTTAAATTGAGAAGTTTTCGAAAAAATCCCCTGGCACGTCGATTTTGTTTTTAAAAAAAGCACTTTTTGACATACGACCCATATTTGTGACGTCATCGTTGTTCGAGATATGACGTCATCGACAATTTTTTTAAATAGCAACCCCCAATTTTGACCAAGCCATTTGAAAGAGCGTGTCATTCTACATACACAGATCATGAAAAATTATGGTGTTACATAACAAAAATTTCAAGAAAATAATGTTTGAAGATTTTAAAATTTAATTTTCACAATACTGAAAATGATAATGATTATGTAAAAATCGACTAAATTAAATGTTCAAATTGTCCACCGTTGGCTGCCTGACAGTAGCCAAGACGATTAATAAATTCTTTTTGGACATTATCAATAACTTCAGGAGGTATACGATGTATCTCGTGACGAATTCTTGTTTTTAAATCTTCTAAATTGTTGGATAGGGAGAAAGGGGCCGATTGAGTGGCCAGCCAGATCGCCTGATTTGACACCCCTAGATTATTTCTTGTGGGGATACTTAAAAAGCAAAGTATACGTTACTAGATCGGTTAATTTAGAAGATTTAAAAGCAAGAGCACATACATTTTGATAAAAATGCAACGAAAACCCTTATCACATATACAGGAAAAGCATTTTTTGCATGATGGAGAAAAGTAAATCGAAAAAATGAACAGTTTTTAAGTAAATTCGAAAATTGCCTGAATGAAGAAATAAATTTCCCGAAGATTGTTGTTCGCTGCCTGCAGGATGCTCGTAAAGCGTCTACATCAGAAAAGGGTGGTCGTCCCTCTAAGGGTTTCGAAGATTGTGCTGTCGTTATTACACGTAGAAAAACACAGGAGATTCGTGAACAAACATCTACGGAAAAATTGTCATTTGCTACCTCCATGAAACTAAGAGAAAGTGGAAATGTAGATGCAGCCAAATTGCTCACTGAAGCAAGCGTATATTGATGAGGAAATGTTACCTTTGGTAATTATGTCAGACGCAGAGGAGAAAGATAAAGACGACCAATTCGTAGATGAACAGGAAAGTAACTTAGACGAAGAGTTTGAAGAAGGTGAAGAATACGAAACTGATGAAAGTGAAAAAATCCAGGAAAAACAGGAGGAACAGGACGAAGAAGAAGATGAAAATTGAAAAATATTTTATACTGTGATAAGGAATATAATGTAATTTTGATAGATGGTTAAAATATAAATAAAATATATTAAGTATAAAAATTAGTTTTTTCTCACTGCAATTTGTTTTTATAGTCATTATGAGAGCTATAATATTGTTTAGATCAAAATAGAATACATTACATTCCATTTCAACAGTTGTTTCGATTTAATGTATTTCAACTCCCTAAAAGGGGTTGAAATCTAGAATATAGTGCAATATTATTACCTCCAGTGGATTCTAAGGTACAAAATACCCTGGAATCTAAAATTTTGCTGCAATGGGACGATTACTCTAAGAGCTATAGGTTTAGATCGAGAAGTTACAGTTTTTGACCACTGTGCTTCGGAAGACGGTCCTTTCGGCCCAAAGACGGGGAAATTGGAAACATCGGTGAAATTTTCCCTGTCTTCGTAAAAGAGCTTACGGAGGTCTTAATACTGCATGGATTTGGTTCAACAGTTGACTGGTGATACACGGCACGAAGTAGTACCGTGGTTGGAGGGTTTGGCCGAGATCACGCGGACATTTTCGGCGGCAGCTAGGAAAACGTGAAATCCTATTATGACTTAGCTGGCCGTTAGTAGTCTCACGATTCGGCTCGAATTTGGTTATGTTAACCACCTAGAGATGCTCTAGAGATGGTGGTGGTGGTGGTGGTGGTGGTGGTGGTGGTGGTGTGGTGGCGGCGGCGGCGGCGGTGGCGGTGAANTGTTGTTGTTGTTGTTGTTGTTGTTGTTGTTGTTGTTGTTGTTGTTGTTGTTGTTGTTGTTGTTGTTGTTGTTGTTGTTGTTGTTGTTGTTGTTGTTGTTGTTGTTGTTGTTGTTGTTGTTGTTGTTGTTGTTGTTGTTGTTGTTGTTGTTGTTGTTGTTGTTGTTGTTGTTGTTGTTGTTGTTGTTGTTGTTGTTGTTGTTGTTGTTGTTGTTGTTGTTGTTGTTGTTGTTGTTGTTGTTGTTGTTGTTGTTGTTGTTGTTGTTGTTGTTGTTGTTGTTGTTGTTGTTGTTGTTGTTGTTGTTGTTGTTGTTGTTGTTGTTGTTGTTGTTGTTGTTGTTGTTGTTGTTGTTGTTGTTGTTGTTGTTGTTGTTGTTGTTGTTGTTGTTGTTGTTGTTGTTGTTGTTGTTGTTGTTGTTGTTGTTGTTGTTGTTGTTGTTGTTGTTGTTGTTGTTGTTGTTGTT